GGAGTCCCATCTGCAGGAACCAGACATTACAGACACCTAAATTGTGCTTACCAGAAGAGAAGCTCAAACTGTCAGGCTTCATGTTTTGGATGGCCACATTTCAACTAACACCACAGCTTAAAAACAGTTTTCCTCCCCTTAGAAATACCATGTATTTGGTTCTGAAGAAGAAACTGGCAGAGAAAAAAAAATGTGGCTAAAAAACCACTTATCTATTTCATGATCACTAAACCATGATTTAACATTATAATAATGACCTGCAGCAAATTGTGGACTTACAAACTCCCACTTTACCTCTCTTATTCTAGTGTGGCAGTGGAGAGGACATTGAAATACAGTATGTGTATGTATGTGCAAATGGTATGTACAAATCTTAAAACATTATTAATCTTAATTAATGAAAACAAGTTGGCTTCATAAATAATAGTTTACATTTGGCTTGTTTTCACTAATCATAGTTGAGACAAACCATACTTTTTGTAGATTTGGATATCACAACTTTAAAGTTAAATACAAACGATTCCACACTTCTATTTTCAGTCATTCCAGAGGAAGGAGAAAAGAGTACACAAGGCAAAAACTTTTTGCAGCCGGTCCTCATGATATTAAATCATGAATTATGGTTATATGTAAATGATGCATTGATGCCGAGACATAGATCTTTGGTTGATACTACCACAGTGATACAAAAATAAAAATAATTCTATGCTATCAAATTACAGTATCCTTTTTTCTGTTCTTTATCATGTTCATCATGAGTCAGAGGGATGACTACACTTTGCTGTGATTTCACAGACTGTACAGTGGTGCCTTGCTTAACGAGCACCCCGTTTAACGAAGAATCCACATAGCGATTTGTTTTTTGGCAAAAAATCACTTTCGCATAGTGATGTTTTAAAAAACAGCTGAAACGGCCGCCAGGAAAAAAAATGGCCACCCGCAGTGTTTTCGCACCCTTTTCTCGCATACCGGGCAGCAAAAACGGCGGCCGCATGGAGGATTTCCGCATAACCATGAGTTTTTTGCCCATAGGAACGCATTAAACGTGTTTTAATGCGTTCCTATGGGCTTTTTTGCCCCGCATAGTGACGAATCCACATAGCAATGATTTTTTCGGAACGGATTATCGTCGCTATGCGGGGCACCACTGTATTATATTTGAAATACAGTGGGGGCTCGACTTAAGAACTTAATCCGTATTGGAAGGTGGTTCTCAAGTCGAAAAGTTCTTAAGTCGAATCTGCATTTCCCATAGGAATGCATTGAAAACCATTTAATCCATATCTGCTCTTTTCTGTCCATAGAAACTAATGGGAAACTGCTATTCTGCCTTCTGCCACTAGAGGGGGATATTTTCTTTCTTTTTTCCCCTTAGGTTCAGGGAAGGCAGGGAACACTAAAGGCAGCACTTTAGAACTCTTTTTTTAAAAAAACAAAGCCAATTTTAAATAATGTTTTAAAGCATGTTGTGTTGATTTTTTCAGCACAAAGGCACTCAGGCAAGCTTTTTAGGTGCTGAGCAAGCCTCCGGAAGCCTGCTCAGAGCCAGCCGATCAGCTGTTAGGCGGGGAGAGGAGCGGGGAAAACCACAAAATGGCTGCCAGGCTCTTTCTGGGTGTCGGCTTTTAGCTCTTTCCTGCTCTTTTTCCTGTGGTTTGGGGGCTACCAAGGCCTGGTAAGTGACTTTATTTAACAGTACAGTACTTATTTTTAAGTTTCTGACCCTTTTCCCCCCCTCCAGAAGCCTCTAAGGGGAGGGAGGGGAGACTTTTTTCCCTGTTCCTAACTCGAGGGAAGTTCGCATGTCGAGTCCTTACTTTCCCTATAGGGCAGGTTCGTAACTCGAATTGTTCGCAAGTCGGGTCGTTCGTAAGTCGAGACCCCACTGTAGCAACCAGTGTTCACGCAGGGACTATGGATTGGTTTGAGAATTCATCATTCATAATAGATATGATGTAAGTCGCATTCTAGCTCAACCTCCCTTTTTTTCTTCCTTCCTCTGGTCCTGCCTCTGCCAATCCTTTCTTACTCTGGTCCCACTTCTGCTGATCCTTTAATGGTTTGCTGTGAAGCTGCTTTCTCATTTAAAGTTGCATTTCTCAAAACTTCTCTATAAAACAAGAACATGGAAAGGTACTTCACAGTGTAAGAGTACAGAACATGACAAGTTTGAACAGTAATTTTGCAAAGTACATCGTAATTCACAAGTCTGAATGATTCCATAACTGGGATTACCACTCCCCCCTTCCCACCTGTTACTATTTTCCCTTACTTTCAAGTAGCACATGCAGGAATTACCACATTTCTGGTCAATGTTTATCATGCCAATAGTTTAAAACCATAAATCAGTTTTGACACCAGAATTAGGCCCTTTAAATATTTTTACAAATGAAAACAATACTATCCCCCATAAGTAATTGCTTCTTTTTCTTACTAATAGCTTCTAGAATAGAATTAGCTGAAAGATGGATGGCTAAAGCAACATTATCTACATATTAATATCTGGTATGAAAGAGTATGGAAGTTAGCCATTGCTGAAAAGCTAATAAGTTTATAACTGGTTTTTAAATATTGGATTGCTTTTATTTGGTTTGTAGACAGGAGTGAGAACTCAATAGTGAGACTGTCAGCTCCTGATGAGGATGGCTGACTCCCCCAGAGGTCCTACAGAGAGTTATAGACCTCCTAGGCAAAGAACAGAAGCCTATGATTCATCCTAGTTGACATTCGCCCAGTAAAGGGTCAATCCCAGAATGAAAGCAGACAATCAGTGAAAAGCATTTCCAAGCTCATCTGGGTATTCAATTATAAGTCTTCTCATGGTAAAACAGTGGGGATAAATACTTAAAATCATTCCTTTCAATGTACAGTGGTGCCTCGCTTGACAATGTTAATTCGTTCCAGCGAAATCTCTGTAGAGCGAAAACATCGTCAAACGAAATTAAAAAACATTGAAACGCATTAAAACCCTGTTAATGCATTCCAATGGTCTGAATACCTGCTCATCCAGCGAAGATCCTCCATACGGCGGCCATTTTCAGTGCCTGTATAGTGAGGAATCCATCCTAGAAAACATCAGGAGGCCATTTTGAAAGCTGGCGGCCATTTTGAAACCTGACGATCAGCTGTTTGCTGATCATCATAAAGCGAAAAATCGGTTCCCGAAACAGGGAATAGATTGTCGTTAAATGAAAAAAAAACCAATCTAAACATCGTTTTGTGATCACTTTTGCGATCGCAAAAACTCTGTTAAGCGGATTTGTCATTAAACGGGGTAATCAACTGTATTTGCAAAGGCTTTCATGGCCGGGATCTTTGGCCGTGTTCTGAAGGTTGTTCTTCCTAACGTTTCTCCAGTCTCTGTGGCCGGCATCTTCAGAGGACAGGAGTAGCACTCTGCTCTGGTGCAGTTTGTTTGGGAGTTGAGTATTTATAGCTGTGGATTCATCTTTTGTCCTTTTCAGGAGATGGGTGATTATGGTGAGGCTCTTGAGAGTCCCCTGGACTGCAAGGAGAACAAACCTATCAATTCTAAAGGAAATCAACCCTGAGTGCTCACTGGAAGGACAGATCCTGAAGCTGAGGCTCCAGTACTCTGACCATCTCATGAGAAGAGAAGACTCCCTGGAAAAGACCTTGATGTTAGGAAAGTGTGAAGGCAAGAGGAGAAGGGGATAATGGAGGAAGAGATGGTTGGACAGTGTCATTGAAGCTGCCAACATGTATTTGACCCAACTTCTGGAGGCAGTGGAAGATAGGAGGGCCTGGCGTGCTCTGTTCCATGGGGTCATAAAGAGTCGGACATGACAACGACTAAACAAACAACAGGTCATTTTAATGCCAATAGATGGTGTTACCAGATAATATATAATTATATTCTCAAAATACAATTACTACAGGTTCATGGCTGGAGCCTCATAAAACAAATGACACTTTTTTCAGCTTCTCTGCTTGTTTATCATTAAAAAACAGCTTAAAACAACATTTATCTTTTTCTCCTTCTACAACACAATGTAAAAGTGTCTGTTGTGCAATATATGTTTATCTCCTTAGCCTAAGACAGTTGTCCATGTATGTTTTGCGGTATTGGTTTGTTAATTAACATTAAGGTAAAGCACAACATAAATGTCATTTTATAATACAGTTTGTTTGTTTTTTCTCTCTTGTTCTCCTGCTTACATTACATCATTGAATTGTTTTTTATTCTTTCTCATAAAAATGGGCATGTTCAGAATGGGATTGCTCTGCCATGTTATCTTACCGGTAGTTATGTTCCCAAACAAATTGGACTTGTGTTGTAAACATTGAAAAACAAGCTGTACTTCTCCCTTGCTTCCACTTTCTCAGCAACCTTTAAGACACCTTCTGAAAAGAACTTTTCATTTTTAGTCCAACACTTCTGCACTTCATAAACTCAAATTTTCTAAATTATTGGCAAAACCAGCCACAACATACTTGAATATTTTACAAGATTCAGGTTGATGGGGTGAGGGTTTGGTGTTTGCAGGTTAAACTGGTATGTTAAACCTCAGATACAGTAGATTTGTGGTAATATTGTGACTTTTTGTTTGTGTAATACTATGTATACTTGTTTTTTTTAAAAAAAAATATTTTAAAAACCAGAAAGCTTGATTTCATTTTATAAACATGAACATAACAAATGTCTCTGGCTCAACATTAAAGTAATTTAATTAAATGTTTTAGTTTATGTACAAGTGAGATGGGGCCCTTTTAAAACTAAAACTTTTTTAAAACTGATCTCTCACCATTCATGTTGCTTGCTATAAGGGTATTAGAGGCTGCTGCATAGGGAAAGGTGCTGGGAACGAATTATGTAAATATAGTAATACATTGAAAATGTTCATTGGCTACTTCAAAGTTGGATTTGTAGTCTATTCTGTCAACGAGCATAAAAGGCTCCTCCCCACTTCACATCCAGCATTAATGTGGAATCACAGCAAATGCAGTCAGTCCACTGAGTCAGCCTGTGCTCTTCTCCCATGTCTGCTCAGGTGGCTTACGGACTTCCATGAAAGGAGGAAGTCAAAAGGAGAACTTGGAAAAGTTTGGTTTTACTCAATTAATCAAGTTATTTTACTACAGCTCCCAAAATCCTGCAGCCAGCATGCTGGCTGAAAGATTGCGGGAACTGTAATCTTGAAAAGAAAAGAAAAGAAGGAATGTTTCCAATCTCTGCTCAACAGCTTTTCCAACCTCCGAGTATATGATCTCTGCTCTTTCACTCACCAGGTTCCTGTGTGTAAGCTTGATAGGAGGTAAGTGCTCCTTCCTGTCGTCTTAATGCTATTATTAATAATTCTCATGCAGGAAGGATCAGTTATCCAAACTATTGTCGCAGTCCAGACATAGCACTAGAGAAACTCTCTCTCTCTCTCTCTCTCTCTCTCTCTCTCTCACTCTCTCTCTCTCCTTTTGTTTTTTCAATTAACCCAAACTGCAGAGTTCAGAAAGGCTAAATAAATGTAGCCTTTTAATGGCTAGGGAACAGCTGCAAAGGCAGACACAGTCACCCATACATACGCATAACCTCCTGACCAAGTCTGCCAAGAAGCCATAAACAGGTGCACCCAGAGGCCAAAGCTGTTACACACACACACACACACACACACACCCACACACACACACCACACACACACACCACACACACACACACACACACACACACACACACACACACACACACCATGACACTAATTTCATTGTCAGCACTGAGCTTTACAATTAACTATGTGTTAGGAGACCATAAAGGAATCCAGACACATATGGACAGCTTACATTCCAGACTTATTTTCCTCTTTCTCTTTCTCTTCCTCACCCCTCTTCCCTGGCAAACACAGCTGAAGTTGCACTCATTGATACCGAGTTGTTTCATACCATAGAGAGCTCCCCTCCCCGCAATTATATTTTGTCACAGAAATTGGAATAGGAATGTTTATTATTTTATTTATTTATTTGTTTTTGCACTCCAGGTCCCCGAATCCCTCAGGCAGTGCTGTTGGGTCATGCTTGCAGTGAGAATCGGAGAGATGCCATCTTAAGAAATCCCTTTTCTGAGCTCTGATTTGCTGTAAGGGCAAGAGTCCTGGAAAAAAATTGGGTAGTAATGCCAGCGAGCTACAGCCTGCTTTGAGTATTATTTACATGAAGGGGCAAGGCAGGGAAGAAAACCCTGTGGGAAAGTGCCTCTCTATCAGCCTAAATGATTCCCAAATTCATCCCACATCCAGTGTGATCAGTGTCTGTTCTGACTACCTATCCCCTCATTCTCACCCTAAAAATATTTGTTGTTTCTGTGTTCTCTCACCATAAATCATGGGTTTGGGTGGCCTACACATTCATGAACAGTTTCATGGTTGCAGAAATGTCTGTGTGCTGTTGGCCTCTTCCATGGCTTTACAGCATAGAATGGGGCAAAACTGGCTGGAGAGATATTAATGTGCATGTCAATTAAATGTAAATAACTAAATCAAGAGTACTTAGAATAAAGCCCACTAACAGCAGGAAGGCATGCTTTATGGATTACAGTGAAGCCTTTGACTGTGTAGAGCATGAGAAACTGTGGGTTGTTCTGAAAGAAATGGGTGTGCCTCAGCACTCAATTGTCTCGAGGCATAACTTGAACTGTGGACACAAAGCTACCATTAAAACAGATTATGTAGAGACAAAATGGTTTTCTATAGACAATCAAGGCTGCATTTTATCATATGTTCAATCTGTACACAGAGCATGTACAGTAAGCCACATTAGATTCAGATGAAGGAGGGATGTAAATTGGCAGAAGAAACATCCATAATTTAAGGTATGGAGATGACGCCATCTTACTGGCAGAAAGCAGAAATGAAACGACTGTTAGGGAAAGTGAAAGAAGAAAGTGCCAAAGCAGGGCTGCAGTTGAACATTAAGAAGACAAAAACGGTGACTACAGAAGAACTACACAACTTCAACATTGACAATGAAGAAACCGAAATACAGTAGTTAGACATTTTGTATATCTTGGTGCAATCATCAATCCAAATGGAGAAGAAGAAGTCAGACTAGGAAGGGCAGCATTGAAGGAATTAGAAAATATAATCAAATGTAAGGATGTGTCAATGGAGACCAAGATAATCCACACTCTTGTGCTTCTAGTCGCCATGTATGGATATGAAAGCTGGTCAGTGAAGAAAGCTGACAGGAAATAAGAACAGAGAGAATAAAAAGGGAGGTGGAGTTGCAGTATATGTCAAAAATACACATTCCTGCACAGAGGAGGAGGAGAGTGTCTGTCCCATCGAGAGCATCTGCATCAATCTAGTTGAGACAAAAAACAAAAGGAACTTGGTAGTCGGAGTCTACTACCGACCGCCCAATCAAAGACAGGAAGAGGACAAAACTTTTGAAAAACAAATTGCAGGGTTTTCAATGAGACACAATGTAGCAGTGATGGGAGGTTTCAGTTATCCAGATATGTATTGGGAGGGAAATTCTGCCAAGTATGGCCCTTCCAAGAAATTCCTAGCTTGTGTGGCTGATAATTTTCTCCTACAAAAAGTGGAGAAAGAAACTAGAGGATTTGCTATTGTTGACTTGATTCTCACCAACAAAGATGACTTGGTGGGGGAAGTGGCAGTAAGGGGAATTCTAGGTGAGAGTGACCACAAAAGCAGAGTGTAGCCACACACATCTGCTGGATTTTTAAAAATCTTAGAACAAGGATAAATAAGGTCCAATGGCAGGAGATCCTAACAAGAAAAGGAGTCCAAGAAGAATGGGAGCTTCTTTAAAAAAGAAATTCTAACAGCACTACTACAGACAGTTCCAACAAGAAAAAAGGGGGGAGGCAGCAAAAACAAACAAACAAAAAAAAAAAACAGTGCAGCTTCACAAAAAGCTCAGGGAGGACCTAAAAACCAAAAAAGACATATATAGGCAATGGAAAGAAGGCCAGGCCACCAAGGATAAATAAAGACAAAGAGCAAGAAAATGCAGGGATGGCATTAGGAGGGCAAAAACTGAGAATGAGCTGAGGTTAGCCAGAGACACTAAAAGCAATACAAAAGCATTCTTTGGGTATACAGTATGAGTAGCAACAGACATAGTGGCACAGCTCCGCAATGGAGATGGAAAAATGATAAGAGAGGACAAACAAAAGGCAGAGGTGCTCAATTCCAATTTTAGTTCAGTCTTTTCTCATAAGACAATGAACTTCTATATAAATTGGAAGTGCAAGTGGGGGTGGGATTGCAGCTGGAGATAGATAAACAAATAGTCAAGGAATACCTTACCACCTTGAATGACTTCAAATCTCCAGGGCCCGATGAACTGCACCAGAGAGTAGTGAAGGAACTGGCTGAAGAACTCTCAGAACCACTATCCATTATCTTCTTGAAATCATGGGAAACAGAGGAGGTGCCAGAGGATTGGAGGAGGGCCAATGTTGTCCTTATCTTCAAAAAGGGCAAAAAAGAGGAACCTGGGAATTACAGGCCATTCAGCCTGACATCAGTCCCAGGCAAAATTCTGGAACAGATCATAAAGCGGTAATTGTGCAAGCACCTAGAAAACAATGTAGTAATAACTAGAAGCCAACATGGATTTGTCAAGAACAAATCCTGCCAAACTAATTTGATCTCATTTTTTGATTGGGTAAACTCCCTGACAGACAGAGGGAATTTTGTAGACATAGTCTATCTTGACTAGAGATGGGGACAAATATAAAAATGGATTGCTTTTTCCGACGAATATATCCAATTGGTTAAATATTTGTCAATCCGTATTTGTAGGTTCCAGAGACCTCCACGAATACAAAGGGACGAATATTTACGCATTTTTATTCGTCCTTCATAGTTTAAAAAACCAAAACACCATTCTGCCTACCGGCCGCCAATCACCTGATCAGCAGCAGAAAGGCAGCCAGCACCCCACACAGCTGCCCAATACCACAGCCTACCCCACCCCTTCCTTTCCCTACCTTAGACCCCATGCCATCCCACCCACCCCCCACTGATACCCTCTTACCTCAATTGTTGCTGCCAAAGTATTCTGGCCTCAGAGCCAAGCATGTAAAAATGGAGACTGGCTGCCCTTTGCAAAGATGGCGGCTGTGGCTTCATTGAGGGTAGGGAAGCTGCAGCTGCCATCTTTGCAAAGGGCAAGGGAATCCAGGTTGCTCTTTGCAAAGATGGCAGCTTCAGCTTCCCTAGTCTAAATGAAGCCACAGCCACCATCTTTGCAAAGGGCAGCTAGTTTCCCTTTTTATACGAAGTGGCTGTGAAGGCCTGATGGAGATCTCGGCAGCAGCTATTAAGGTAAGGGGGTGTCGGTGGGAGTGGGGTGGGGGCTAAGGTAGGGAAAGAAAGGGGGTGTGAGGGTAGGCTGTTGGGGGGGCTGGCTGCGTGGGGGGTGGCTGCCTATCAGCTTCTAATCAGCTGATTGGTGGCCAGTTGGCAGAATGGGCTTCTGTGCCATGTGGTAAACTCTTCTGGGGGGGACCCAATTTGTGGGTGAATAACTCATATGTCCAATATTCAATCTTCACCAAAGTTGGTAAGCATGTTGAGGAAAGACATTGTATTTGTTGATCCATTAACCTTGACGAATAACAGATCAAAACAAATTGCCATTTTTTTGAATTGTCCCGGTCTCTAATCTTGACTTCAGCAAAACTTTTGAAAAAGTGCCCATGATATCCTGATTAGCAAGCTAACTAGGTGTGGGCTGGATAGATCAAGTGTCAGGTGGATACACAATTGGGTACAGAATCGTACCAAGAGGGTGATAATTGATGGGCCCTTCTCTAACTGGGAGGAGGTAACTAGTGGTGTACCGAAAGGCTCAGTCCTGGATCCAGTGCTCTTCAACATTTTTATTAATGATTGGATGAGTGAGTGCAGGGAACGCTTGTCAGATTTGCAGATGATACAAAATTGGGCAGAATAGCTAATACCCTAGAAGACAGAAACAACATTCAAAATGACCTTGATAGAATGGAACACTGGGCCAAAAGCAAAGGAATGAAATTCAACAGGGATAAATGCAAAGTACTGCACCTCAGAAAAAGAAACCAGTTGCAAAGTTACAAGATGGGGGATACCTGTCTCAGCAAAACTACGAGTGAGAAGGATCTCGGAATTGTCCTAGATCACAAGCTAAATATAAGCCAACAGTGTGATGTGGCTACAAAAAAGGCTAATGCTATTTTAGGCTAAATTAATAGAAGTATAGTTTCCAAATCCTGTGAGGCACTAGTCCCCCTCTATTCAGCATTGGTTAGGCC